CAACTCTTATCACAATCCATACATACATCAATTGTGTAAAGCACATTTGTTGCCCTCATCATTCTCAAAACATTTGCCCTCCACTTAAGCCCTTGGCATCAGCTCCTCATTTTTCCCCCCTCCCTCCTCATGGGCATTGTTTTAAGAGTCTGTTAGGTACCAGGCAGCTTAACAGGCACGTGGGATCAACAGCCACACAAGGTAGTAGTGAGGTCCTTGCTGCTCTATGAGGAGTGCACTCCCCGTAGAAGTGGGGGGTGAGCACCAGGGGCTTTGAATGTGCCCTTCATGATATAGTCAGACATGGGGACCTTTGTGCTGTCTTGAACCTGTGAGTGTTTCCAGGCTGGTAGGGAGGAAGGCCAGTGAGAGGAGCAAAGTGAGCAAAAGCCTGGGGCTGTAGAGCTGGCCTGTGTGAGGACCCATGGTAGCGTGAACACTTAGACAGGCTGAGAGCAGAGCCCCTAGTCCAGGGCATTCGTACAAAAGCAGAGTGGGCTGGAAGCTTAAGATGAAGACCGGAAAGGTAGTGGTGAGAACAGTTGTACTGAGCTTGCTTGCTTACTTGTTTTTGATAGGTTTGTCAATAAAAGATTGCTACCCAAACCCCACTGCCATTGAGTTGATTCCAACTCAAAGTGATCCTATAAATAAAGGGTTTCCAAGACTAAGCATTTACACGAGCAGACAGCCTCATCCTTCACGGAGCAGCTGATGGATTTGAATCATGGACCGTGTAGTTAGCGTCCCAACACTTACTTACTTAATAGTGTTACTAAAGGTTAATAAGGATAAATTTAAATATTGCTTAAAAAGTATAGGAATGTATGAAGTAAAGTAGAATGTTCTACTGGAAACCCCACTGGCTGGAAGACAGACTCGGCATTGAGAAACAGTCATAGGCAATTTGAGAATTCCATTATCTTTTCATTTCATTTTTCTACCAATTCTCGGGGAACCGCCCTGTGTAGAATGACTACCTGTATGTGCTTTGAGGTTAATTGGATGGCTTGGACCCCCTTCTCAGTTCTCCCAGCTAAAAGGTGGGTGAGCATTGAGTCGCTGTCTTTCTAACTCACGTTTTCATCTATAAGCAGGGTGGTTGGCACCCTCACCTACTGCAGTGCCCACATGGTAGCAATTGTTGCTGGTTCTTGTCTGCTTCATTCTGACTCATGGTGTCCTCACGGCAGGGTGGAACTGGGGTACTCCTCAGGGCTTTCAAGGCCTGTAGTGTCAGGTGCTCCTGGGTGGCTTCGAACTGCTTCCCATCCAGCCATCAGCTGAGTACCTACCTGTTTATACCCACAGGAATGCTCTACCCACTGCCACCAAGGTGATTTCAACTCTGACAATTCTGTAGGACATAATAGGACTGCTTGCCAGAGTTTCTGAGACTGCCAGTCTCTACGGAAGTCTCTATGGAGACCCTCTTTTTTTCTACCATGGAGCAGATGGTGGGTTTGTACCCTTGAATGCTTAAACTACTGTACCACCTGGACTCCATCAGGGATGCCTAGTGCCTGGGGTGTAGGGTATTTTCATGGATTAACCAAGAACATCTTAGTGAAACCCTGAGCATTGTATGAGCATCCAGATGTTAGCTGTAGCCATCATCACCCTCAGCATCATGTCACTGCTGCCTCCCCGCGTTAAATTAGTGTTTTCTACACCTGTACATACCAGCCTTGGTGGCACTGTTAGGTAAGCGCTAGACTGCTAACCCTCAAGGTTGGCAGCTCATATCCACTAGCCACTCTGTGGGAGACAGATTTATAGAGTAATCTGATAGAGTTGCCCATGAGAGTGCCGTGAGTTAGCTTTAACTAAGCACATGTTAGTGGGCTTGTTCCTTTTCATTAAAGAAGAATCCTCTAGAACTCTGTGCTTTCTTAAGTAGATCATCAGCATAGCATACTTTTATTAGAAAGGATGTTTTTGTTTCCTAATGCTGTCATCACAGAAATGCCACCAGTGGGTGGTTTTCATGAACAGAAATCTACTCTCTGCCGTGTGGGAGGCTAGAAGTCCAAATTGGGGTGCCGGTTCTAGGGACACTCCTGTTGGCTCTGGGGAAGATACTTGCCTCTAGTTTCTCTGCCTCCTTTCCTTGGTGAACGTGTGCAGTCTCCTCCGTGCGTGTGTGCTTGCTTACTCTGCAGTTAATACACAGCCTACACTGATCTGCCACTTGAATGTGTCAGGGAAAACCCATTTCATGACGTTAGGATTCACACCACATGTTATAGGGGTGCACAATTCAAGCCAGACCAATGTAGACATGTCATATGTCTTTTGTGGGAAAGTTTAGCAACTTTTTATGAAGCAGCTTCGTCATGATATGGTCTTAGTGTGAACTCCCACGAGTGCTGTAATTTATTTACCTTGCTGTACAGGTGCAATTGGTATTTTAACCTAACTAACTGGCTTTCCTTTTTTTTCCTCTTTTAAAAACTTCTGGTCTACTAGGAGTTAAAAAATGCTGAAATCGCTTTAAGGACTCAGAAAACGCCCCCTGGACTGCAGCATGAAAATGCAGCTCCTGCTGAGTAAGTAGCTAACCGGGGCTTGTCACTGGACGGAAGCAGAGTAGCAGCCCTGTGCAAGCCAAGACTACTACTTCCTGAATGGATTTGATCCCCCAAATCTGAAGGGCAAGTGAGGGTTTTTTTTCCTTTTGAAACCTGCACCTTTTCTTTCTTTGTGAGTCCCCCCAGGTGTGTGTCCTCTGCTCTCTCACACATTGTAGCAGCTTGTGGCAGCTGTCACCTTTGTAATTTGAGGACCTTGAGGTAGTGCCAGCTCGGTGCGGCTCAGCTTCCGGAGCAGCCCTCTGCCCCGTTCCTCTCGTGGCAGTCAGGTGGTTTTGAAATGGGCTTAATCATAACATTTCCCATGGAAAATAGCTTCCACGGTTCCCTTTTCTTGATAGACTCGTGGTCAGGCTCCTGTGTGTGCTACTCAAGTCCTTTTTTCCCCTTTCATTGTCTTCATCACCTTCTTTAAGGTTAAAAGTGTCAGGCTAGTTGGAGACTGATTGCTTTGCTTGTTCTGTTGTACTCCATAGTGTTTCCGGTTGGTGTGATTAACACCAGAACCCTGTAGATGCTTCGTTGTGAAAAATCAGTGTGATGTTTGTACTCCAGTTTTTTAACTTTTTATCTTGAACTTCTTTTGGATTTAGAAAACACTTTCAAAATAATAGTTCTGAGAAGTCCCTTTTATTCCTTATTCTGCATGCCTCTTAGCTTGTGACATTCCCATCTTATCAGCACCAGGGACAGAAGTGAACACTGATAAAATATTAGTAACTCAATGACAGAACTTAGGAGTCCAGGTGGCATGGTGAGTTTGGTGTTTAGCTGCTAACTGCGAGGTCAGTAGTTCAAGCCCCCGAGCCATTCTATGGGAGAAGGGTAAAGCATTGTGTTCTCATAAAGATTCTGTTTTCATAAAGTCTGAGAAACCCACAGGGGCATTTCTACTGTGTCTTAAAGGGTCGCTGTGAGTTTCAGTCAGCTGGATGGCTGATGAATTTCTTACAGACCTTATTTGCATTTTACCAAGATTTTGATTATTGCCCTTTTTCTATTTCCAGTATCCTGTTCAGGACTACATTTAATTGTTATTTTTTCCTTGTTTCTTCCCTTTAGTAGCATTTCAGCCTCTTCATGTATTTCCTAACTTAAGTACTTTGGAAAAGTATAAAGCTATTTTTTGTACAATACCCTTTAACTTGGATTTCTCCCTCATGGTGCAAGGAAGGCTGTATATTTGTCTTTAGTACCTCGGTATAACTGCTGCTGTGAGGGGTTTTGGTTTAATGTTATCTATGCCACTTATGATGTGCTTTGGTGCCACAGGGGGTTAAGCCTTGGGCTACTAACCAGGGAGTCGGTAGCTGCTCCACAGGGGAGAGGTGTGACCTTCTCCTCCTGGGAAGGTGGGCAGTCTCAGAAACCCTGAGGAGCAGTTCTGCTCTGCCCTACAGGGCTGCTCTGAGGCCGCGTTGACTTGGCAGGAGGGAGTATAGACCACTTAAGACCTGGTGTGCCCTGAATCCTATCAAAGAACCTACCTAAATGGGGTACTTACTGATTTATTTATTTGGTATTTAGAATGTAAACTAATGTTTAGAAAAGTCTGATCTCATTTCGTAAATGCTCTTCTCTAGCTACTTCAGAGTCCTAGTTCAGCAGTTTGAAGCACAGCTTCAGCAGTATCGACAGCAGATTGAAGAACTGGAAAACCACCTTGCCACTCAAGCAAATCATTCCCATATAACTCCGCAAGGTAACATGTTTCTGTGGACATTTAAAAAATATGTACTTTGTTTTGGGGTTGAAGACAGAAGTTACATACACACAGTTATGTAGAAGATATTCTGGTTAACTTCATTGTCTTAAGCTGCCATGAGAAATTTTTCTGAGCAGGCCTTGACTAGCTCAGTGCTCCCGGTAACTATGAAACACCTCATAGTAAAGTGTGGTAAGAAGGACCACCCACCAGGCCTCCCCCAGGGTTACAGACCACAGCTTCTCTCCCTCAGTCCCTGGTTGTCACTGACTTTCATGTAGTTTATTGGTTTATTTAGTTATTTTTCTCATACATTCATAATACCGAAAGTGGAGTTTTTAAATAATCTTTTAAAAAACACAGCTCATTTTCTTTGTCTTTGTTCTACTATGGTTTTCTTTTGTAGATTTGTCGATGGCTATGCAGAAAATTTATCAAACATTTGTAGCTCTAGCGGCCCAACTTCAGTCTGTTCATGAAAACGTAAAGGTGAGTTTTCATCGCCCTTCATCTATCTCGACACATATTTATCTCCCCAGATGAAGTACTTACCCATTTGGGAAACATGAGTATCCACACTTACTATAGAGATGACTTCAATCACATATTAGTCTCGCTCGCTAGTCTATAATCAGACAGACATAGACATAGAATCTTTAAGAAAGATCCAGTGACCTTTTACGTAGTGTGCCATTGTAGCCTTTTCCTAGGTGTGTGTTGAGTAATTCCCCATGTCTCTGCACATGTTTCTCAGCATCAGTTTTCAGAGCCCCTGAGGGCATCGCTGGGGGGAGGTGGTGTGGGTCCCCCCAGAGGTGCCTCAGAAGAAAGGCCTGGCAACCTACTTCCAAAAATCAGCCCTTGAAAGGAAACTCTGTGGAGGGAGCCACTAGCCCCTGGGGTCCCCAGGAGTCAGAGGATTCAGACTGCACATATTGAATGCTGGCTTTTCCCTTTTAGCTTTTTGTGTCTAAAGGTTATCAAAGGTTGGGCATTTAGAGATTTTTTTTTTTCTGTTAGCAAAAATTATCGGAAATCAAGTGCAGAGAAATTTCATGTGCCCACCTGAAAGCTTAGCCAAGTGAGCCTGGGAGTTTCAATCTAGGCCCAGTGACACTTGCAAGTCGCAGCCAGCATTATATAGTGTATAAAGAAGTGTGACGAGTTTGAAGTACATTGCAGTGCACACCCCATGTCCCACCCTAGTCTGAGTCGCTGGCTTACTAATTTGCATTTGAGGTGGGGTCTTCACATAGGCGCAGTATGGCCTGTCATCTGGTGGTGCTGTCTGGTAAGCCTTGGGCTGTTAAACAACTTCAAGGTCAGTGGTTTAAATCCATCAGCCGCTCCAGTGGGGAAAGATGAGTCTGTTTGCTCCTGTAAACAGACTTCGGAAACCTTATATTAGCTTACTGTGATTTGGAACTGATGTGATGGCAGTAGGTTTTGTTTTCTTTGTTTTGTTTTTTTAATTCTGTGATTTTTCTCTCTTTGGTAGCACAATTCACATATGTGTTTATGAGAGGCTTTGAAAAATTCATGAGAAAATGCCATTATCTTTCAATCCTATTTTTCCGTAGACTTTTTGAAATGCAATCCCCATCTCCCATACTCACCCAAATCAGCCCAAAGCTTGATAAGACTTTTCTTTTTGTTCCTTGCATGCTTGTAGGTGCTCAAAGAACAGTACCTTGGCTACCGGAAAATGTTCCTGGGTGATGCTGTGGATGTGTTTGAAGCCAGGAGAGCCGAAGCCAAGAAGTGGCAGAACCCACCCCGGGTGACCACAGGCCCCACTCCTTTCAGCAGCATGCCCAACGCAGCAGCCGTTGCCATGGCTGCCACACTTACTCAGCAGCAGCAGCCCGCGACAGGTCTGAACGCATTCAAGTTATAGCTTCTACTGTCGAAATTCAGGGGGGGGGGTGCGTGCGTGCGTTTTTACAAGTCTTCCTTTTGTGTTAGCACCCAAGACCGTTCTGTGAGTGGCTGCTCCACTGTCATCTCGAGATTGTGATGGACACAACTGTGAACATAGGCCCAATAGAAAATGCCAGGGCAGTCTTAGCAATAACTACACACGCCAACTAGCTACCGAATACTGCTCATCAATTTCAGTGGTATTTGCTGTGTTGCTGTCAATGCCCTTTCCCTACTACTGCTTTTCATTTAGAGATAGTATCAGATTCTGAGCTTGTCAGTGTAGCCGTTGCGGTTTTAAAGTCAAAGGTGACCCACAAGGCATGACATTTGCCACACACTTGAGCCAGAGAGATGATGCACACCCATACACACACAAACCCCCCCCCCCTCACAGAGTAGGGGCGTTCTTTGGCTGGAGGAGTGTTGAAGAACAGTAGGTGTGCAGGTGGGTTAGAAGAAAGGATACAGGAGCAGAGCTGCAGCAAGGACAGGAAGAGGGTCTTTGGAGATAAAGCCCATCTAGAAATAGGGCCTGGGGGGACTGGACAACAGTTGCTGAGATACCAGAAGCAGATGACCTTAGCCTTGCTTCTGCCTAAGCTGAGAATCCATTTTGGGGTTGAATTGCGTCATGCTGGGAGATCCCCCTTTTCCTGTCTTTCCTCCTGTGAGCCGTCTGTCTGCTCCTAAGTATCAAACTAGCAAGTCTTGAAGCTTTTTTCCCCATCATCGGTGGATTCTATGCGATACCTTTATTGCTTGCCATGTGTCTTTCAGATATGGTGGCTAAGAGTCCCTAAAAATATCTGTCAAGGTGTTTTAGGAGTCCTGGTGGCACAGTGGGTGGGCTGCCATTGGGCTGCTAACTGCAAGGTCAGCCCGTCAAAAGCTACCAAACGACTCAGCGAGAGAAAGATGAGGCTTTCTGCTCCAGGAAGGATTTCCAGCCTTGGAAGTCCACATGTTCAGCTGTGTGCTGCCCTGTGGGGTGACTCTGACCTCAGAATCGACTCAATAGCTGTGAGTTTGACTTGGTTTGAGGGTTTTTTGTGTCAAGATGTTTACATTTAGATGAGGTTAGACGTGTTCTGGGTCCATAGACGGGATGTTTACTTTGAGGCTGGCCTTCTCCCTGGGCAGTTGGAGAAGTGATTCTTCCCAGCTGGGCAGTGCAGACCCACCAGTAGAGGGCTGGTGGTGGATTGAGCATGGCATCCCCACCATGATTCCTTTCTGGGCCCAGGTCTCCTGTGGCCAGCCCACACCCCTCCAGCCGGCTGGAAGGGAGATTGTATTCTCCATTGAGGGTGGCAAAAAGTAACCACAGAATTGGTTCTCTGTGGAGTGTGTCTCATAATAAACAGCCCATAATAACCAGTTAACCACACCACCCATTTTATGGACTTACATGGAGGGTCCATCCATCTTACCCCCCAAAGTCAATCACAGAAGTGTGGGTTTGGCTAAGGGTTTTTTTTTTTAAACATTTTATTAGGGGTTCATACAACTGTTATCCCAATCCATACACACATCAATTGTGTAAAGCGCATTTGTACATCGTTTCTCAAAACATTTTCCCTCCATTTAAACCCCCGACATTAGGTCCTCATTTTTCCCCTCCCACCCCGCTCCCCCCTCCCGCATGAGCCCTTGATAGTTTATAAATGGGTATTTTGTCATATCTGCTAAGGGTTTTTTAAACATCATGGAATCCCATTCTAAGCTGTGAAGTTGGAGCCTGTTTTGCTTTGAGTGGATTTGTTGGGGACAAACAACTAACGCTGAAGCAAAACCACCTATTAAAGGGAGTTTTAGACTCTGGTCTTCCCTCAGACCTCCATAGGTTTCCCCTCAGGCGTTTTGGGCTCAGGGATGTCTTCAGCCACTCTGAGTGTCTTCTAGGGGTTCTGCTCAGGGGACACAGCCACAAGGAAAATAGCTGCAGTCCGTCTCCACTTTTTAGGGCTGCCTAACAGTGGCCCCCCAGATGTCTGTCTGACTTTGAGAGCCAGCATATTTTCTCACAGTTCCAGAGACTAGAAGCGGAAATCAGAGCATCTGCTGTGCTGATTCCTTCTGGGGCCTCTGAGAGGAGCCGCGGTCCTGGCCCTGCCTGGTCACCTGGGGTTCCTCCATGTGACGTTGTCGGTCCCCTCCCTCACCCCCTTTATAAAACCCGCTCAGAGGGAATTAGGGTTAGGATGTTCCCTGCTTCCGATGGATCTTATTTCATTTAATGGACAGCAAAAGAAAGACTAGATTCCCAGCAGAGCCTCGCTCCTGTATACAGGGCTGTAGACTCGAGCACCTCTCTCTTGGGGAAACAGTCTAGGCCATAGCCCCCTCTGGGGCAGCGGAGGTGGAGAGTCGCGCTTGGTGTTCTGTTTGTGATCATTACCAGACCTTGGGACTGCACTGCCTTCTGTCTGCCCTGCACTTTTTTCCTGGCCAGGAGGCAGGCCTTGTCCCTCAGCGCAGCCTTCCTCGTGGTACCTTGACTCTGTTTCCCACTGGCTGCAAACTGAAACTCAACAACTGTGATCATGATTTTGGATCCTGCCTCCCACTCTTTGTCTCTGCAGGCCTCTAGAACACCCCCATTTCACGCCCCCGCCCTGATCCAAGCATTAGTCCTGTCACCTGGTGTAGTGAACTTAGGTCACTCTTAGCTGCGCACACACTGCTGTTGGGCACTTGCCCTGATTGTGATGTTGTGATCTGCGCCCTGGAGTCACTCCAGGGGCCCTGCACGCCATTGACGGGAAGACTGCGCAAAGGAAGTTAGGCAGTGTTCATTCATGTCACTTTGGTCTGTGCAGAGTGTGTGTGTGTGTGTGTGTGTGTGTACATTGGGGGGCGGGGTTTCATGTTGCAGGACTTCTTTGCATATTGGTTCTTGACTTCATTCCTGTGGCTAGAGGCACATAGAGCAGGGAACGTTTCTCTGACTGTCACCTTCTGAAGATGGCTCATGTGTCACCTTTCTGGGAAGTGGAGAGATGGATTCAAATGCTTTCTTCAGCCCTTGTTTAGAGGTTGGTTAGCAAAAAATGAAAGCAGGTCTGAAGTGTGATTTCTTGGTGTTAAGTGCTGGGTAAATCTTGGGCTGTCAGCCTCAAGGTCGGAGGTTCAAACCCAACAGCCTCTTCCAGAGAAGGAGGAGGAGGCTCTCTGCTCCTGTAAAGATTGACTGCCTTGGCAGTCCTGTGTAGGTTCGCTGTGAATCGGAACTGACCCCGTGGCTGTGGGTGAATTGTAGTTGTTCTGGTGTGATCCTGCAGGCTGAAGAGAAGTGATGACAAGCCAGCCATCTGTGTGTGGATTGGGCACCAGCACATAACAGGTCTTGCTCACAAATGCTGCCCAGGCCTTCAAGAGAATTCCAGAGACAGTGCCATTAAGCTGCTCAGCAGAGTTTAACTTGGGTTTTCCCTCTCCTTTTAAGGCAGTGATCTTTGGGGATTGACTGCTGCTGCATTTTGGTGATTTTATATGTTTTTGGTGTGGGTAGGTAAGACTGACTTTTCTCCTGTAGTCTAGCTGCTGTGTGTGAGGAGCATTGAGACATTTCGTTAGGGATTCCTCCTTTCTAGCTTTCAGTGTAGGTCTGGGAATTTCAGCTGTAGTGTTTAATAAGAAACTTTTAGCATTTCATCTTCGTTTCTTGTGGTTTTGTGCTTTTATTGCGTTAACTAATCAAAGGAACATTCCCACTAAACCAGTCAGAGAAATAGAGCTTTCCAAACAGAGGGAAAGACTTTTTTTTAACTTTTATTTTTTTGTTCTTAAAAGAGGATTATATCGTTACATAATTTAGAAGTAATCATACTAAATTGCTCATTTTAGAGGTAACCATACCAAATTATGTATCCCAAGTGATCGTGGCAAATCTTAGAGACAGATTGCCTTTGTTTGTTTTTAAATCTTTAAAGAATTTTAGCACTTTAGTCCTTTCCTGTGAACAAAGTTTTTACTTTTAAGAATGTAGAATTTACTACTTCTGGAAAATCCTAATTACAGTGCTTGCTGACCGTGATTTTGTTGTGTGTGAGACTCTATTCTGTGGTAACTTTTGTGAAATGTCACTCTACATAAAGATTTCACTTTGGGCAAGCCTTGGGCCCTATCACTACTGATGTGGCTCTATTGGTGGGACTAAGAACCTCTCATTGACCGTCGGATTTGAGAGCCGATGTATGGAATTGTTTACTTAAAAACCTTTGTCTGGAGAATCTAGATTCTGTTTTTTAAGTGTGAGACTAATTTATATGGTGACCAGAGTGTCTTATAAGTGGATACTTTGGCATGGGAGATATTTATCATGGATTTTAATATTTTAAAATGTTATACATTTGCCTAGTTTTATAAATTTGCCTTCAAAATTGGTGCGAAGGTACTGAGCTCAAAAGTACATATCTGTAGTACACTGGGAAGTCTTGTCTTTAGCACACACCAAGTTCCTGCTGCTCCATCTCCCGGATATTGACCAGGAGAGAAAACTGCGTTGTGGCGCTTTCAGGAGGAGCCCCGGTGGCAAACTAGGTTACGAATTTAGCTGCTAACAGCAGGGTCGGTGGTTCAATCCCACCAGCTGTTCCTTGGGAGAAAGAGGCAATCTGCTCCCCTGAAGATGTACTGTCTCAGAAACCCTCTACTGTGCCCCACAGGGTCACCAGGAATCAGAAGCCCTTCGGCATAGGTGCACTGAGTGTTCTGGTGGGCAGGGCTGCTTGTCTCCGGGGCTGAGGGCTGTGGTATTGCTTCATTCTTGGGTCTTCCACCAGCAATGCCTCCTGTGAACATGTAATCCTGAGGTCTCTCCATGTTAAGGAACCCAGACATGTGTTTTCCACACAGCATTTTTTTTTGTTAGAAACGAGAAAGTTACATGCTTAACTTCTTTCTGCATACAGTAACATTTTACGAAAGAGCTGCCAAGCAGGTATTTTATTCTCAAACTGGATGTATTTAAAAAAAACACCCCACCTTATTCTTAATTTATTTTTTTAATAGTCATATAAGACTATAAATATAAGACTGCTATTAATGACTTTCTTTTGGGGGCAGAAGCTATTTGAAACATCTGTTTTCTGCTATGGCATAGCAAAATATAGTTCTTTCTGTTTGGTGTTTTTGTTTTTAATTTAATTCTTACACTGCCTTCTGAATGGACGTACCTCATTCTTTCCTGGACAACTGGAAGGCTTTGATTTCCTTGTAATGCTTTTAACTTTAGATTGGTCTGAATCATTTTGGCAGACCCCTCAACTTCTGTGCTTGACAAAAAGAGTAGAGTAGACTGGAGATTGTGCTATGGCATTTATTCCCATCATTTTCCAAAATGATTTATCAAAGGAGAAATTTTTTTAGATTTTTGTATTCTTAATTTTTAAAAAGCAAGCAGTAGTTACAAAGAGAAAGGCTAGTAAGTTTAATGTTCTTGCCAAACACACTCAGCCCAAATCTTCACGGTAACAGATGGGCAAAGGGTAACTTACTTGTTCTGCATCTGAGTACATTTTCCAAACTGTTGGACAGAAACTTCTGAGTTGAAATTTTGAATGTATTGAATCTGTCAAGGCCCAGCTGGTGCCTTTGTAAATGTCTGTCCCTCTGTCGTACCTAATCAGGTGGAAAGTGATGTCCTGTAGCTGAGCTGACCCCGAAAGCTCTCTTCTCACCTTTTTTTGTGAATCAGTTTGAATTGTCATGTCACTGTGTAACTGACTTGCTTTCAAATGAACAATAAATTTAATAAAATAAAATATTGTCTTGTTTTTTTATCTACTGACGGTATATGTCATTTCCATTTCCTATGAGAAATCTTGCCCAGTAGTTCGGCCAGGTCCCAGCCAGTCCTCCATGACCCAAGACATAAATCTTTAATGATAGATAAGGAGCTAATTTTTCTTGTTGTAGTTAGTTTTTTGGTTGTTTTGGGTGGGGGGCAGGGGTGCTTTATTTAAAGTCACAACCCATGTACTAACTACACCAGCTGGTTTTACCAGAACTCAGGTGGGGAGAGCTAAAGCCCTCCGAGAAAGAAATAAAAGACAAAGCAACTGTCACTGGTAATACAGTAAAGATTTTGAATGACTGTAGGCTTAGCTCAGTCATCTCCCAACACCTGAAGACTAATTCATTTAGCTCAAAACTGGTTACTTTAAAAATGGGTAGGCTTTTTTTTTCTTTCTTTCTTTTTCTTTTGTGAGGTTATTCACTCTAGTCAGATCCATTAGGTCATGAAAACTTAGTTTTCACAAATGGGGTTTGTTAAAAGCAAATGCTGTTCATTTAAAGGATAATAATTTCATAAAGAAACTTTAATCTTGAAAGAGTAAGGCCAATTTGTTTTTTCCCCCCTTCCCATTTTTTTGTTTTTTTGTTATTTTGTTTTTGTATCTTATACCAGGGCCACAGCCATCTCTGGGAGTTAGTTTTGGAACGCCTTTCGGCTCAGGTATTGGCTTGCAACCCAGTGGCCTAGGTTCTTCAAGCCTCGGAGGTACACTTTAACTTTTTCTAATATTTCCTTGGATGACTCTACCTTTGATTGATAACTAACCCGAGAAACAAATCTCTTAGGAGGACCCGTCTGCTACTGTTTTGGAAGTTTAAGCTTCCATGTGGCAAAACCTTCAAACTGAATCCATGCCCTCTAGTCTTAGATTCCGAATCATCTGGGAAGAGTCGAGTCAATATAAAAGATTACTTAAATTAAGTGGTAGTGAGGTTTGTCTTTTGAAGGCAATCTATTAAAATAGAACCTTGAGAATTCCTGATATTTCTTTTTTCAAATGTTCATTTTAATTAAATTTTAAAAAATTAACTAACACTTATTTAGAGTCTGAATGATTTCTGAATATACATTCTTCTGGCTGTAATCTAGGAGCTCTGGTGACACAGATGGGTAAACACTGAACCACTAATCACAAGGTCAGTGGTTCAAATCCACCAGCTGCTCGGAGGGAAAAAAATGAGGCAGTCATGCTTCTGGAAAGATTGACAAGCCTTGAAAACCACCCTGTATAAGGTTGCTATGAGTCAGAATTGATTCGGTGACAGTGGTTTTTTGGTAATCATAATTTGCTTTAACTAGAGAAAAAAGTTGGTTACATATTGAATAATCTGACTTCTGCCTTTTTTCCATACTTCTGCGTATTTGCCACTCTCATACATTTATATCTAAGGGATCCCCATTATTTTAATAGTCTCATTTAGTAGCTGTAAGTAAGGTAAGTCATCTGCAAAATATGCTAAATGAATTCAAAGTTTTTTACTGTAGATAATTGAAAGTTGATTCTGTTTTTAATAAATGCACTGTGATGCCATATGTAGAATTCCCTTATTTCCACCAACATGTATCTTAAGGTGAAGGAAAGCCTATGTAAGCTACTGTGACTGCTTCAAATGGGAGGGAGAGATCCTATTAGAAAACACTAGAATCATGCCAGCATTATTTCAGTGTTCTGTATTCCAGTTTGCCATCATGAGGTTCATCTCAGTATTTTATGTAAGCCATGGCACCGTAAAGAGCCTTGGTGCCACAGTGGGTTAAGTGCTGGGCTATTAATCTCAGGGTCAGCAATTCCACCTCACCAACCCCCCTCCTCGGGAGAAAGATGAGGCTGTCCACGCCCATGAAGCGTTCCAGTCTCGGGAATTCTGTGGGGGCAGTTCTACCCTGTCTCGTCCAGTCACTCTTGGGTTAGAATCTACTGACTGCAATGGGTCCTGCCTATAAAGAAATTTCAGTGTATGCATAGAGTGCCTGGCCTTTAAGAGAATGCAAACATGTTTCCAAGTATGGAGCAGAAGCTGTTCCTGAACTTTGGTGAAAATATTACTCAGGAATAACCGAAGAAACCATGACTCCCTGTCCCTGCTTCTCCCTGTGGCTCTGGTCACAGGCAGGAACCCACTGTTATCACACATTTCCAGTGAATGGCTTGTTTAGCTTTCCAGTGGTTTTTATTAATTAAACGAAAAGCTTTGGCAAAGAACAGTACTGTTACCACCTTGCAATACAATCAGTGCTTAAGTCATTGTCCTTGTCATGCTGGTGGGTGCGCCTCCTCCATCCATCTTTTCTATAGACTAAGACCTAGGTTTATGCCTATTGGGCTAAAAGTTTACTTTTTACATTCACTAAAACGTCCGGCCTTTTTGGAAGTGAAAATACGACTATGACCTTGGTTTTGCGTGATCTTGAAAATGGGCTGCTGGTAGGTCATGAACTTAGTCTGAATAGACATGAAGGTTGTCAGCTCAGAGAATCTGTTCCCAACGCTTTAGGCAGTGGAGTAAAAGCAAAACCATTGTACTTAACAATACCGTGTTTTTCCAGCCTCTGTTGCTTAGTCCTTTGATAAATGTAGGTTTTGCTTGTCAGTATGCTGTAACCTGTGTTTTACATGCCGTTGTATATTTCTCTATTGCCCTCCCACTAGGATTTGGAACTAGCTCTGGTTTTGGAAGCAGCACCACAGGGGCCTCCACATTTGGATTTGGAACAACAAATAAACCCTCAGGAAGTCTTAGTGCAGGTTTGTGCCTTTCCTCCTGAGCTTCAGGTGCATTTAAAAGTGCTACTTATTTCATTCACAAGTACAGCTATTGTTACTGCCAATCTCACCCATCACAAAAGTCCTTGAACTATTCCTACCTCCTGTCCCATAAAGCTGCCAGCCTGGCTCCTTAGATGGCCTCCTCCCTCCTAAACTAAGGTTAGATTAGTAAGGTCGTTCCAACAAGACTTGTTACTTTGGGCCACGAAACACAAGGAGAATAGTTTGAAACTATTAGTTGCTGAAAGAGGAGGCTTCTGCGCCCATATAGTTACAGCCTCCAAGCCCCACAGGGCAGTTCTTCCCTGTCCTGTAGAGGGTCACTGTGAGGCCGAGTCCACTCGATGGCGGTGAGTTTGCTTTTCAAAACCCCAGTGACTCAAGCTTCATCGTTAAACCCCTTTCCTGTCACTGCCAACGTGAAAATCACCCTTGTGAATGTGGAAGTTTTGCTTTGATTTTAGATCAACACTCACTTAAGAGACAATTGATGCTCCCCAAAGCTACTTTTCAGCTAAAAAACTCCCTCTGGTTTTCAGAATACCACTGCCTTAAAAGTGGCGAGGAATGGCTTCTTTGTTCATTTTTAAATCGGTGTAATATTTTTTACTCCACTAAAGAAAACTCCGCATTACACCTATTCTGGCTACATCCTTGTCGGTCTTGGTTTGTTTTAATGGGCAAAGCTTAGTGATGCATAGCACATCTAATATAATATTAGTTAGATTAGGCTAAAGTTAGGGAATTTGAAAGAACTCTCATTAAATAATGAGCTGCGACCAAAACCAGCAGGTCCAGCTGGGTAAAGTTCTCATAGAGTTAGAGACAGATGGAGAGTAAGTAGGTGGTAAAAGTATTCTCTCTCTCAGTTAGGTAGAGGCCCTTTTAAAGCCACAACAAGAAGAGCTGCCCCTCACTGCATCCAGCGTCCTGAAAATTGTTGGTTTGGGGCTTTCTTGGAGAACTTAGAATTGACAGGGTTGGGACAGTGCAGTCCAAATGTGAAAGTCTCTCCTGCAGGGTTGATGAAATGTGTACAGTGGAGCTGAGCAAGAAGGCACCTTGATATTTTTAATAAGGATGTTCCTGGCAACTTGAACAGACCTGCAGATAGCGTTTACTTGTGCCCAAGATCCTCTTTTGACTCATGTTGCTCAGCTTCTGCTGTTCAAGGTGCCTTTTAGAACGGCTCGCTAAGTTCCTGCCCCACACAGCTTCACGTTAGAACTCAGTGCAGCTCTGTTAGTCCCTGTTCTTAACAGTGTGCATTCTCCCAGGTAGACATTTAGCTCTCATCCTTTCTCGTGTTTTGACATCTGCTTCTGTGATTGCTCTTCTGACCCCACTGTTTTCTTCCCTGAACGTAAGGCTTTGGCAGCTCAAGCACCTCTGGCTTTAACTTCAGCAACCCCGGCATCACAGCATCAGCGGGCTTGACCTTTGGGGTGTCCAATCCTGCCTCTGCAGGCTTTGGGACAGGAGGACAGCTCCTTCAGCTGAAGAAGCCGCCAGCCGGAAACAAGAGAGGAAAGAGATAAACGCACGGTGGATGTATCAGACTCCGTAGCAGCCGCGTCCACCATGAGTCTATTTTTCTAAAACCGATGCCGTCCTTCTGTTGGGTCGCAGGGGATTTATAAAGTTTTGATATTTTTCCCTCCTTTGGAATTGGAGCTGTGTTCCTACTTACCATGCCGAACAGCATTGTTCCTCCCCCATGGCCCTTTGCGATTGGGGAACCCAGCCATGGGTTCTGTTGTTGTTGCTTTGATCTGTGAGAAGTGTCCTGCTGAGGAGCTTTGTCCCTGTGTTCACTGTGTACCTTTGCATCACATGAATTTCAGTGTCCCCTTAGCATCAGTTTGTTTCCCAAGAAGGTCCTCTCGTGTACTACGTTGTAGGGCATCCTGTGGATACATGTGTAAATACGTACATGCAGAAGAGCGTGCACAGTCGTGTGTGCAGGTATTTCCAGACCTACAGCTCTGCTTCACATTATTCCCCTTGAAGCTTCAAAGCCCCCGTGCCCGCAGATGGATGAAGTTGTCCTCCAGGTCACCGTGGGCATAGCTGGTGCCTCCGAGTCACGGAGTCTAGCATGAAAGCCTGCTCTCTTGCCCGCGGTCTGGCTCTCCCGCTTTCAGCTGAGAGGTTCCATTTCTGTGTCCACACTAGCTGCCAGCAGCTGTCCCAAATGAGAGAGGCTGGGAGACCGGCCAGCCGATCGGAACAACTTTCCTCTTGCCCTCACACTGCAGACGTAGAGTGGTTTTGTTTTTGCTTTCTGGGATGGTCCTCCAGGCGCATATGTGAACCTCTAGGCGTCATGACGTTCTGGGGCAAAGAGCTAGTAAGCCAAATGGATTCTTTGCTGGTGAAAGTTACACCACTGAGTGGAAACTTCTAGCTCTAACGTTCCAGAGTGTCTTTCTGAGAGGGCGATTGAACCCGACACCAGTTGGAGTGGCTTCTCAACCTCTTCACATCTTAAGGAAGTGCTAGCTATGGAATACAGAAACAATGTGTTTTAAGAAAAATAGAATATTCTTGATATGAACTCTCCCTGGGTCTGGTGTTGACAGAGCTCCAGATGGTGACAACCCATGGGCCTGTCAGGCTTCCTGCGTGACCCACTGTCTCCACGCGGGGGCTTTAAAATGTTCCTGGGGAAATGCCATTTTCTAATTTCTATTTTCCCACCAGCATCTTGAGAAGGCCTCCTCTCAGTGTCCCAGAGGGAAGCAGAGTGCGGAGAACCCAGAGCCCTCTGCTGGAGGCCTGCCTTTGCCGGGATGGCTGAGAGCTGCCATAAGCTTGGCTTGTCTGTATCGATTTACAAGTGCAGTTCTCAGACAGAAGGCAAACATCGACTGTCATTGGAAATAGTTTTTGTTTTGCTTTTTTGAAAGAAAGTTTTGTACATAATGTGATCAAGTGAATATTTTCAGCATAATTTTCACCAAGGCATCTTTTTTTCTACAATAGGAATTGCATATATATTGTCTATACCCGCATATATATTTTTAGTATAATGTTAGTTTGGTTTAATTATAAAAGTATTGTCAAAATCTGTATTATTTATCTGCATATAGCAATGAATGGCTTTATTTTTTGTTTGGTTTGCTTTTCTCCCAGATTTGACATTTGTATGCCCGGGTGCATTAAAGTCAGGACAAATGGTTGTTTAACTTGTTTGTATTTTGCATATTTCTCCTGTACTGTCAATCCCCAAACCTACCCTGTGGGATTGGTTAGGAGAGGGAGCATTCTGTGTTGTGAATACATAATGAAATCAGTTTTTCCCTCTCTCTTTTTTAAAGACATGCATTGGGCTGCAGAAATCTGAATGTTACTATGTCTTGGTTTCATTTCTTTGATCTGTTTTACATTTAATTTGTTGAACCACTGGAAATTTTGTTGTACCCAAATCCTCAGTGATAGCAGTTAAGACTGATTGTCCTTATCACCTGTCTTCACTCTGTCTCCAGCCGCTGTTCTGTGAACAATAAAGCCTGTTCTGTCTGTTGCTTTGGGTCTTTGTAGGTTCTTCAGGTCCAACTTGGCCGTCGCTGCTCTTCCGTCTCCTGCACTGGTGTTGGTCTTTCCCCTTCCCTTCCCTGGTGTACATAGTTCGCTTAATAACAAAAGGCTGCCTGCAGACAAAATGTTTTTAATCACGTGCTTTTGCCTCTTCAAAGTTATAAAAATATTAAATAAATAAAACCCCTCCTGTTTTATAGAAGAGGACATTGTAAATCGTGTGCCCCCTTCAACTCCTAAAACCCCAGCCCTACCCTTTCCCTAACAGGGTCCCTCTACTTGATTCAGGGAGGTGTTGGGTAAGGCCGCCTTTCAAAGGTCCTTTTAAAAACCTCTTCACCAAAGTGTGTAGGTCATGTTCTTTATTCCATTTCTTGTTTTTGTCTGATCTCATTCTCTTTTCTATCAATGGAGTTAAAGCTCTTTATCTTCTGTGACTTGCTTTTTCAACCCTTGAATGGTGGGCCACCCACACCTTTTTGTGTCAGTCTGTATACAAGGGGGTGCCCCCCAAAAATCTGGAAAAATGCTCTGCTGGGCAGAGCTTTCCTAGTACACATTTTTTTCCCCTTCGGGGAGAGCAACGAGCAACTCAGTCTGAGTTAGGGCACCCAGTGATGTCACCTGGGAACTTCTCTCTGGTCACAGTCAATTTTCTCATGAAAGCTGTTTAGCTCAAACCTCGTTTTTTTTGTGATGGCCGATTTAAGAGAACAGCATGTGCCTGTGAGATTTTGTTTCCTGCTGGGGAAAAATGCAACGGAACTGTTGGGAAAAGGTGAACTGTTGATTGATGACAAACCCCTTTCTGGACATCCGTCAACTTCCCAGATGGATGAAAATGTCAACTCTTAGTGCATTTGGAGTTGTTCTACCAGGTTAGATTGTTAATCAAGCTTTCTATTTAGAGGTTCTGAAAAGGTTGCATAACAGTGTGTGACAAAAAAGGCCTGATATGTGGCAGACGGGGAACTGGTTTTGCCACCACGACAATGCATCTGCTCACACAGCCTTCTCAGTGCGCCAGTTTTTTTGGGAAAAAACAAAACATGCCTTTCTTACCCCGCGCACCTGACTCACCTGACCCCGCTCCATGCAACGTCTTTTTGTTTCCCTGACTGATGAGGGCCATGAAAGGACAGCAACTTGATGATGTAGAAGAGGTGAAGAAAAGAAACGAGGGCAGTGCTATTAGCCATTCAGACATGAGTTTGAAGACTGTTTTCAAGAATAGAGTCGCAGATTTGACAAATGTGTTCAGTGTAATGGAGAGTGCTTTGAAGGGGAAAAGGTTTTTATAAAAACAATTTAAATACATAGCTTTGCAAAAAAAAAGTCTAGTCTTTTGGGGGGTACTCCCTTAGAGATTGACTTTTTACATTTGAAGGGGTTTCAAAAAGTCTGGGAAAATTGAAAGACAGTCGGGATTTTCCGCAGACTTTCCCCTTTGATGAGTTGGAATTGGCTTGAGAGCGGTAGGTTGGGTGCTTGGGTTGATGTCCCATAGCAGAGCTGGACCTGGCGTGTTCAACTATTCCCTACCGATGGCCAGTGCTATTCTTTCCCAGGTGTCACACTGACAATAAAACCTACGTGGGTATCCTTGAACATGACCTTTGATGCTTATGTTTAATGTTTCTTTGGGATTGGTTCTAGAAGATGAATTACCATAAAGATAAATAAATTGTATATTTTTATGTCAAATTACCTCCCAACAATGCTGTATACAGACTGCCTATTTATACATGAATTCTATACAATTTCCTCATGTTATCCTGAGTATCCTAATAAGTATTTGTGGGGGCTGGACTCTTCCATCTACTTTAATTATTAGCATACTTGCAGGAATTCTTTAATATCCTTTGGCCATTTTTATACCAGCTTACATGGCACGGTTAAGCTCTATAGGACCCTCATAGAGAACGGATGTTAGTATTTTTCCTGTTAGACAGTGTTGGGCTCCCAAGAGTCATCTGAGCTCTGGGCAAGTTATTTTTTCTAGCCCTCACGTCTGAAAAGCGATAGTAAATAATAAAACGTGGAGGATATCGTAGACATGGTGGGCCTATGAAGAGAGAGTCCACTTTAAAGCACTTGAGTGGCTTAACGCGCTTCCGAAGCGTTACCTAGTCCTGCACCGAGACCGCGCTCTCCTGGCCGTAGTCTTCTGCTTTATTTGGGACCTGGTAGCGCAGAGGCTCTATCTTGTTCTTTGATTTTGTTCATGTTCCTCTTGAGGGTGACCATTCTAGGACACTCATTCTTCAGGGTGACCTTGAGTATCCGTTTTCTCGGGTTTGATTCCCCCCACCTTTGGAATTTATAACTCAGAAACCCTCTATAGGGGTTAATGTGAGTCAGAATTGACTAGATGGCCGTGGGTTATGTCCTTGCACCGAGTTTTACAGTTTTTATTGGAACATCTTGCGTAATTGCTTTTCTTAACCTTTTCGCAGCCTTGGTGGCCTAGTGTGTTGGCCCACAAGGTCAGCAGTTCAAAACCACCAGCTGCTCCTTAGGAGAAATTTAAGCCTTTCTACTCCTATAGAGAGTTACAGTTTTGGAAACTGCCCTATAGGATCACTGAGTCAGAATCCACTCCTGGCAGAGTTTTGTTTTTGGATTTTAATAGCCTTTTAACATTTTTCCCCTCCCTCCCTGCTCCCCCCTCCCTCATGAACCCTTGATAATTTATAAATTATTTTGTTATATCTTGCCCTGTCCAACATCTCCCTTCACCCACTTTTCTGTTATCCGGAGGGAGGAGGTCACATGTAGATCCTTGTAATCGGTTCCCCCTTTCCAACTCACTCTCCCTCTATGCCCGCAGTGTCACCACTCACACCACTGGTCCTGAAGGAATCATCCACCCTGGATTCCCTGTGTTTCCAGTTCCTATCTGTACCAGTGTACATCCTCTGGCCTAGCCAGACTTGCAAGGTAGAATTGGGATCATGATAGTGGGCGGGGAGGAAGCATTTAGGAACTAGAGGAAAGTTGTAGTTTTCATCATTGCCACATTGTACCCTGACTGGCTCGTCTCCTCTCCAAGACCCTTCTGTAAGGGGATGTCCAGTGGCAAAAGCAAATTCTTGTGCAATGAAGGTACCAACTGAGAGAGATCCATAGATTCCCCCCTTCCAAAGACAGGTGACCCAATAATATGAAAAGTATAGAACGATATCATTAATATCACATGAAAATAAAATTTTGCTCATGATCATTTAACCATGTTGCAGCAGTACATGAACAAGTTGCTGCCAGAGGTTCAGACCAGAGGCAGAAGAGGTTGTGGAACAAAGGATATCGTTGCTGATGTCAGATGATCTTGGCTAAAAGCAAGAATATTAGAAAATTGTTTACTTGTGCTTCATTGCTTGAAAAGGCATTTAACTTTGGATCATAGCCAACTATGGATAACATTGAGAATGGGAATTCCAAAACATTTGGTTGTGCTCATGTGGAACCTGTACATGGATCAAGAGGCAGGTGTGTGAACAGTACAAGGGACTACCGCATGACTTAAAATCAGGAAATGTGTGTTTCAGGGTTGTGTCTTCTCACCATACTTACTTTTAGCCAAGATCCATCTGACATCAGCAACGATTGGGGTTTGTCAATGATTTTTTTCTTGCTTGAATCGACAGTCAGTGCTCATGGAAACAGTAGTCAAGATATCAAATGATACATTGCATTGGCGTGATCTGCACAACATCTCTTTAAAGCGCTGAAGGGCAAGGATGTTACTTTGAGAACTAAGGTGGGCCTGACCCAAGCCAGGGTATTTTTAACTGCCTCGTATGCATGGGAAAGTTGGATATTAAATAAGGAAACCTAAAGAAGAATTGATGCATTTGAATTATGGTGCTGGTGAGCAGTATACACTGGACTGCCAAATGAACAAACCAATTTGTCTTGGAAGAAGTACAGTCAGAGCACTCCTAGAAGCAAGGATGGCAAGACTTGTCACATATTTTGGACATGTTAACAGGAAAAAACAATCCCTGGGAACTGGTCTCATGCTTGGTAAAGTAGAGGGCAGCCAAAAAGAGGAAGGCCATCAACAAGAGGGACTCACAGAATGACTACAAAAATGGACTTCAAGGTAAGAGTAATTGTGAGGCTAGAGCAGGACTGGGCAGTGTTTACTTCTAGTGTACAGCGCCTCGCTATGAGTCAGAATCAACTCCATGGCACCTAGCAACAACAACCGGGTACAAGTGTACCAGTCCACATGACAGCCTCATACGGAGGAAGTTGTTAGAGATGAGCCAGCTGATGCTGGGTTTAGAAGTGTAACTACTAGAGAAATGCCAGCAGGTTACCCAGCTCGACCTGAATGCCCCTTAAAGGTCCATGCAGAAATTGTGGAGCCTGTGAGCATTCTGAGATGTACATGTAACCCAGAGCCGGGCAAATTACAACCTGCAAAGTCTCCACCTGTCATTCAGAACCCTGATTTGGGAATGCTAAAAGGCTATCCGAGGCTGGCCCGTCAAGTGGGGAGCAGGTGAATGCTATTTTCATAAGAAAACTGAGTTAAGGAAAGAGCCTGGATCAAGAATCCTTATTTCCAAGGGAAGACACATGCCTTTGCTATTTGTTTATTTGAACGGGAGGATAGAGACTTGCATTTCTGGATAAAAACTTTGGGGGAGACATCTAGAAGCAGCTCATCATTTGCATGGTAACCAAGACAATGTGAGCAGACTTTTTCTAAGGACTGAAGGGGAAGAACCCGTTCCTGTCCTTCCTACACCCAGAATGAGGGCAAGAAGCAATGCATGATATGATATGCTGGGAGTGGAAAATAAATTTACATCTACCATGGGTTGATGAACATGCAGCAGTTGTAGGTGGCACCACCTACCTGTGCCTCCAAGAGCTGCAAGTCCTTTGGCACAACCAGTTTGAGGAAAAGAGGATGCCCCGTGTTTGGTCTTTGGTGCTGAAATCCGGATCAAACCAGAAGGATGTACTTTGAAT